CATGCAGCTGTGGTATATATCGTATTTAAATGTATTTGGCCCACGAGTTAACTATTAAAGATTACAACAGAATTATTGGTAAAGATATACATATTTTTTTAAATCCTGAACTTTTTGATAAGATTTATGGGGTTATGTATTGTGATCAAGAAGGCCTATTGTTTTGTACACTTAAGCAAAAAGTTCGTAACTGGAATTTACTGTTATACTTTGTAAATGCTGTAAATACAAATATCAAGATATTTAAATAGGCGTATCGTGCAAGTCTTGTAGCGTTGTACCGCCACTAGATGTAGCTAAATTAAAAGAAATGACAACTTTTCTTTAGAAGCTTTTCTTTAGGTGTACTTTCAGCTAGACTGAGGTTGGTTGCCACAATTTTTATTCTTTAAAGAATTATAATATATATATATATATATTTGGATAAATATTTTTAGATCCTTTACAGGCTGGAAAATAACAAGAGGGCAAACATTCCGTTTTATTTTGTTTTATTTTGGTAACAGCATCCAGTAAACCAGTAATTAACCCTGTGCTAACCAACCCCATGTCTCAAAATCATAGTGATTTGTACAGTTAAAAATGACAAGAAATACTGAAACATATGGAATTAGACCTCATTCATCCAAATCATGCCACCAAATTATATTATTTATACTGGATGGCAAATTTAGGGGGGAATCTATTTGATAATAAAACATAAAAGAAAACATAATATGCTGTTATAGTTGTTGGAAAAACATGGCACTGACTGACTGAAAGAAAGGAAAGATTATTTAGGGATTATTGTGATGTTTTATCATCTGTTTGGACTCGCATTCTGACGGCACCCATTCACTGCAGAGGATCCATTGGTGAGCAAGTGACTTAATCCTAAATTTCTCAAAATCTGTTCTGATGAAGAAGCAAACTCCTACATCTTGGATAGCCTGAGGGTGAGTACAGCCATTTTTAAGCATTTTAAGACACTATTAGCACTATTAAGGACACTTTACATATATAGTAAAACAATCACATTTAGATTTTTTGGTGTCTTGAAATTCAAGGCTCCTCTGCTGACATTATAGTGGTGTTGGCATCTTGTGCTGACAAGCAGAAAAGCTAATGATCACTCAGGACAAAGACCAAAATGACTTCACACTGTCATTCTACTGAATCATTGTAACAAAACTCTGACTCGACCATCTGATAGAATCTGCTTCGCAGGGAAATTGAATCTGGCTTCTGCCTGTTTAGAGATAGGACACAGTTAAAGATTGCAGGTGCCTGTGCTATCTAATATAGTTATGCAAGTGGAATCAGCAGACAATAAACTGACAGTGATATTTGTTGATAAAGGAATAATGTGATTAATTGGTGCGGCAAAGAAAAGACAAGTGAGATCTTATAAGTCAAACAATCAAGTGAGAAATAATGTACAAAGTTTAGCATCTGCCTATATGGTTATATGTCACAAACGATAACATGCAATTTCAAGGTCATAGAATCCACTTAAAGGGATAGTTCACCAAAAAATAAACATTTTGTCACCATTTACTCACCATGAAGTTGAATTATGAATTGAAAGTATGTACTACTTTATTCTTTATGTTGAACGTGTTTCTTTCTTCTGTTGAACACAAAAGAAGATATTTTGAA